ACCCCTTTTGAGCAATCCTCTGTATGAGATTCCGAAGACAGGAGTTGAAAGTGGAAGCATGGAGAAAATAACACGGATTAACGTCAGTGGGACGATTTTTGAAACATGGCAGTCAACTCTTGATAAGTATCCATTCACATTACTGGGATCTTCTGAACGTGATTACTTCTACAATGAAATTACACAAGAATATTATTTTGATCGGGACCCCCAGGTTTTCCGATATATACTTAATTATTATCGAACTGGTCGACTTCATTTCCCACGTAATGAATGCGTTTCCACATACGAGGATGAGCTTAACTTTTTTGGAATAAGACCCGATGCGCTAGAAGTTTGCTGTTATGAGGATTTCATGGAAAAGAAGAAGGAAGATTCAGACCGATATGTAACTGTAAAGGGGGACACAAACTTCGGTCCCACAAATGCGAACTCTTTCAGGGAACAACTCTGGTTCGCATTTGAAAATCCACATTCCACAAATCTTGGCCAAGTTCTCTATTACGTTTCTGGGTTTTTCATAGCTGTCTCAGTTCTGGCAAACATAGTGGAAACAGTCAACTGTTCAGTATCGTTAGAAACGGGTGCACTTGTATCATGTGGGTCTCAGTATGAACAGCCGTTCTTTTGCCTTGATACTGGATGTGTCCTAATTTTTACCATCGAGCACCTTGCTCGTCTGTATGCTGCTCCGAACCGCTGCAAGTTCGCCAAATCTGCCATGTCAATCATAGACGTTGTTGCTGTACTGCCGTACTACCTTGGCCTTTTCATGACAACACATGTATCTGGTGCATTCACAACATTACGAGTTTTCCGTGTTTTTCGAATTTTTAAATTTTCACGGCATAGTCAAGGTCTTCGTATACTTGGGTATACCCTCAAGTCATGTGTTTCCGAACTCGGATTTCTTCTGTTCAGTATGTCAATGGCCATTATTCTATTTGCAACTATAATGTATTACACAGAAAAGTCTGAGACATCTCAGTTCACAAGCATACCAGCAGCAGCGTGGTATACTGTTGTAACAATGACGACGCTGGGGTAAGTAATATGGTACGCTTCCATAATTTTTTTGAATCTTGTTACCTATGTTACATAAATATAAAGAAAAAGTGGGAGTAATTGCGGCGGTGCAGTGACATTTTTGGCACCTGAATTTAACCTCAAAATTTATTATCTGATTAAAACATTTTATAAAATTAAGAAGCAGTATCTGCCCATATTTGTTTTCACTTTCTATGATTGTGTGGGCTTAATTAAGTTATGGTATCATTTTCCCATAGTGACTCTAATGCACTTCTTTTTACTGTTAGAAGTCAGCTAACCTTGCTAGACATAAGACACGAGTGTGAAAAGTACAGTGAATCAATTATGAAACAGATTAGTATCTTTAATTTATATCAGATGATGGATAGAGATTATTGCGTTTTTTTTTAACACCACAGGTCCGACTAACTTTGTTGCTTTGTTTTTTCAATATCATCAACTTTTTTGTAACTAATAATTTATTTCAATTAATCTTTGCTCAAGAATAGAATATAGACTGCATCATAAAAGAACTTTTTAAACAAGGATTTGTAGCAAAATAAGTAAAACCATTCATTTTAGTGCTATCAGGTTCGACAAATGCAAATGAATTGGTCAGAAGAAATAAATGTATTATATTTACTCAGAGGCTGCTAAACCTCATACCCGAATTAATAAGTCCCTGGCAATTATTGAGCTTATTAAGGGATATTGGGCTTCAAAAAGGTTTCAAAACCTCTTAACATCGAAATTTTAAGTTGAATTTGAAAAAAAAGTCACAGTTCTTACCTAGTTCAAATTAAGAAAACAAAAAATGAGTAAAATCAAAGAACGGTGTAAGCAAATAAGTATTTCCTCTCTCCGTCCCTCGCCCAAGTCGCGTACACTATTTGTACTGGACATTCTAACTTATCTTTGGTGGACGTTTCATTACGTCGCTTTAATTAGCCCTTTTTGTTTACGTTATCTTTGAAATATTCGTTAAACCCCTTGACTTGAAGAATTTTATGAACTATGTTTACTGACTGACAACCAGCTTCTACAACATGTCGTTTAGCTTCTAGCAGTATCAAGTTTGTCTTGGTGGGAATGCAAACCGAATGCAACGGTCATCTTCTAAACTTCGGACTTTATTCGCTAACCTAACCGCTTTCAGCACCCCAGCGAGACAAACGGAGCTTGCGCTTTATTCCCCTCCAGTGTCACTGACATGGTCCAAAACGCATAGGCATATATTGTTCTGGTTTTGGAATACTTCTGCAGTCTGCTGTTGTTTACCCTTTCCTAAAATATTGTGGTACACCCCAGCTAATGGTTTAATCAACATATTGTGCACAGAAAATTTCTGAAACTCACGACAGTCTGATTAATTTTTAAAACAAAAGACAGGGTTGACGCGTTTCTGAATTTTCCATGTATTTCCTTTTCTGTTTTCAGCTCTGCGATAAAGTTATTTCCTTGTGTTACAGCAAAATTTGTTACCTGTCGTGGTCACCCCCATTTATCGAAAAGATTTTGAGTTACTCACTTTTGAGTTTTCCATGTAATTCCGCATTTCACATATTATTACACATTCAGTTATTGGGTGGTTGTAAAATGTTCCCATACAATTTCCATAGATGGCAAAAAGCTTGTTCCACTGACTACACTGAAGTCTCCTTTATCTTTATGTCATTAACTAGCAATCACCAAAATGCTTCGTGAGTCAACGCAGCCTCAAAAGCACGTTTTTACAATGACTCTGCGGTCAAAGTAATTTTTTTGAAATGGAAAATGAAAAGTTGCGTTTTCGTCTTGCAATGCTGTCTAAATTTAAATTGGGGCAAATTTTTGCAAGTTTAAATGTGAATTCAGATAGCGTTCCTGGCCTTCGGCTAGTTAAATGTGGTTTAATCGATTTCAAAATGGTGACTTCAATCTAAGTACTCTGGGCTGCCTTCCGGCGTTAGTACCGGCTACATCCGTGATTTAGTAAGCAGTGCTCCACGGCCTATCGCTAAGCATAATTCTGAGAGATTAAATGTTAACAAGTAATCTACTTGGTGTCATTTAAAGCAAATTGGGTACACGTTTTGACAGAAAGGCACAAATTGAAGAGTGCTGCCGCAGTCGTTTCTTGTCTCGCCTGTCAACAAGGTGAACTTTTCTTGGATAAAAACAAAACTAGACGCTAAAAATGAAATGTAAATGACACTTTCATGCGAAAACGAGGCAAATGCTTCCAAACATTCTTGATCTGTCAAGTTGTATTTCTGATGACCATTAAAACAGCCCTCAATGTAATTGGAAAAAAAATTTAAAAGTAATCAGAGTTTACGTTTTTTTAAAAAAAATGTTTAATAACTTAATATAGACTGTAAAATTGTTCAAGTTTTGTTGGCCGACTTGTGAAACTGTCTGATATAACCCCTTTTCCCAATGATGATATTTGGTGTAATATAAAAAATTAGATTATTACAGTTTTGAGGTGATGTAACAAAAACCACCTATCCTTTACTGCACTATCTCATGTTATCCCAGGAAAAATAAGATGGTTATCTAAATGTCATGAAATGAAAAATTCTAACACGATTTAACTGCTTTACATAAAATCGGTAGGTTGACTTTTTTGATATCTTTTAGTTTCTGTTTAACGCGATTGCATCGCAACTCAGTAAGCTCTTAATCGATTCATGCTCAAGTTGCCTCAAAATGTACATGCTCTATGCAAAGCCTTAATTGATTTCTTGAGTGTGTTTCGCTGCGCATTTTGTTCCTGAGATCTACTTTTGTGATTCTTGAAGCAAGGTGGTCACTGCAGACTGCACTCGACACTGCCTTTGACTCGTCTTGTGTTCGTCCTCATTATGTACACATTTATCCGAGCCTTGTCCCATTTATGTTATCTTCTGTAAAAGCTTGAATATTACTCAACAAAGCTGCACAAAGTTGTTCGAGTCTTCATTTTCTTTGACAACTACTTCTATTCTAAAATTAGGTTGTGGAAGTACTCAGATTTAATGGAAAACGTTCCTTCATTTATGACAAATTTGTCCGTGTTTGATCACCAGATGAATCAGAGTACTAAGGTAAAAGTTACGAAGGGATGTCGTGACATGAATGCGAAAAGACCATCCGATTGCACCCCAAGTGCTGGTGCGTCGTTGTGCTCCAGGGTGGGTGGTGCAGTCAGCTTTAAACACGTCTTCGAAAACACGCAATTATTGGTATCGGTGATGTGCTTATCTGATAGGCACTTCCTATGAGCAAGGCTAAAAATATTCATTTTCAAATTTTAGAGTATGAACCTGCTCAGATTAAGTATACAGCAGAGATGAACGCCTGTGGTCTAGTCCGGGAAGCCAGCTTAACACACTTGCGGCTCCTTAAAAAATTACACTGACAGAACTCCATTCGGTAATTGTAATTCAGGTCGACCATTTTGGTCACCAAATGAAACTTGAAAACGCAGTAACAAACTGAAATATTTTACCATTTAACTGTTAGCAAAAGTATAACAAAGTTGTCATTGACGAGAAACCTTTAAAAGGGCATTTTGTCATCTTTATTTAACAAGCTGTTGGAGACTAATTAGGAGAATAACTTTGTCTGCAACTTGTCCCTAATTACACACGGCGAAAAAAGGTCGTAGGATCATTTTCCCCTATTTCTGAACATTGCTAATAAACTTGTTCTTGATGTAATTAGTTAAGACTAAGTCCCTGGACCGTGATTTCACGATAATTGAAAAGTGTTAATAAGCTTTCGCTTAACATGTGGCAAAATCCATTGTGAGAACCAAATTTCGTTTCACCCGACGTCGAATAACGTGCTGTATTTAATAACGATCTGAAAGTGTTGGTGACGTTCATGATGCTAGTAGACTTAAATTAAGTTAGAATACGTCAAAAATTGCAGTCACAATGAAAAATGCGATACTTCAGTTGCATAGAGATGGACGATGTTAATTGTTGTGAATCACGTGAAGTTCCACGGAACAGGTAAGCATTATCAAAACATCCTAATTTTGGCAACTTATGAAAAAAACTATTTTTTTAAAAATTATATTGTGGCTTACAACCACGGCACTACTTCGTCTTCAAAGTGCACTCTCAGACTGCTATTACAATCATGCAGACTCGGCATAATTATTCAACGGAAAAGACAGTCAACGCCCTTCCAGGATCCAACTTATAAGGTCTGACTGCGTGCATCATCAAACTGGACACCAATAAATGATAGGAGAAGGCAAATAATTTTAACTGCTGGAACAATAAACTTGTTTTTCATTTGTTGATGCGACCACAATTATTTTTATACGCGGTTTATTTTACTTTCAAGCCAAAACAAAATCCCGATTCTCTTTTCCTCTGGAGGTACAATTTCGTCCTTCCGATGTCTGGGTCCTGCTTTGGTTGGCATTGGCAAAAGGCGGGATTAGTTCAACTCCTTTTTTACTGTAACTTGTAATCATGCTAGTATAAAACTTTTATGGCGGTTTCCGACAGCTGTGGCAATTCTAGAAACCCTTCCATTTGTAACGATAAGACCGCAAATCCCCTTTGCTCATTTTTCTTGTTTATTCCTTCTGCCAACTTTAGCGAAAAAGAATTACCTCGAAACTCTGAACTAAGGTTATCCTCACCAAAAAACACTTTTCCCACGATCTATTTTGGAGTAATTACCACTCACCCCCTTTACAGAAGTCAATTCTGATAGGCTGTTTAGGCTATGAAACCAACATTGAAATCGTGATGGTTGATCAATAAGTGTGATTTCATGAAAAGCTGGGTGGAAGCAAGTAACTGTAGTCAGAAGAAAAATTCAAGATTTAGATAATGCCCTTCTAAAAACTGGGTTTCGCTTGGTAAAAGGTTAATCCAAGTGGAGCATTAGTCACTGCAAACATGAACAGCGTGAAACCAATTTTGAAATCTTTAGGTGGTAAGGCAGCGATATTTTGCTAATTTTTTTTCAAGGAGCAAAAAGAAATAAGTTAGAAGAGAATTTGGCGCATTTTTTGCCAAAGAATTTTAACTA